GTAGTAGTAGTAGTAGTAGTAGTAGTCAGTAGTAGTAGTAGTAGTAGTAGTAGTAGTAGTAGTAGTAGTAGTAGTAGTAGTAGTAGTAGTAGTAGTAGTAGTAGTAGTAGTAGTAGTAGTAGTAGCAGTAGCAGTCGTAGCAGTCGTAGTAGTCGTAGTCTTCATTGTTGCAGGCGTGGTGTAGTAATAGTAGTAGTAGTAGTAGTAGTAGTAGTAGTAGTAGTAGTCGTAGTAGTAGTAGTCGTAGTAGTAGTAGTACTAGTAGTAGTAGTAGTAGTAGTAGTAGTAGTAGTAGTAGTAGTAGTAGTCGTAGTCGCGGTCGTGGTGGTAGTATTAGGAGGAGGAGGAGGAGGAGGAGAAGGAAGAGGAGGAGGAGGAGGCTCAGCACTTTTAGCTGCAAATGCAGAACTACCCGCATCAGGAGAGTCATTAGTAACAGTAATAGTTGAAGTACTCGCAGCCTTGAATGCAGAGGAGGAGGAGGAAGAGCCAGAGGCGGAGGAGGAGGAAGAGCAGCAACATGGGGAGGAGGAAGAATGATAGATTGGGGGAAAAGGCGGAGACGGAAGGAGAGGAGGGAGAAGGTCCTGGGGGGGGAGTTTTGGAGATGGAGGACGAGCGTGAGCAGGAGGAGGGGTGGCAGCAGCAGGATGGACACGAGGAAAGGATGCACGAGCCGAAGGAAGCGCAGCCCCAGGCGCACCAGCCCGAGCCACTGGAGGGGAGCCCTCGGCGACCCCGGCGGCCCGCGAACGACGCGGTGGTCACCCAGTGGGAGGCCCCAGCCCAGCGGCCGGGCGTCCGCTCGCGTGTCGCAGAGCATCGGCGGCGAGCCCGGGGGGGAAGCGAGGCGGGGCAGGCTTTCTCCGAAGGCTCGGAAGGTCTCTCGGGCCTTGTGCGCAGTTCTCTGCACCCTCCCCGAAGGCACAGAAGCATTTCTCAGGAGGGAAAAACACACAGTCACAATTAATAGTCGATTCCCCAGAAAATATGGGAACATATGGGAAGTGGGGGGGAAGACAGAAACCCAGAAAATATTGGAAAATATGGGGGATCTTTTTATTTGTGTGTACTCACTTGTGTGTCCCAGGGCCCCATCAATTTCAGAAGGAGGGCCTGCGCCTGCGCCCTCTCGCTGCCCCCCCGGGGCGCGCCGTCGAGGCGACGGAGAGCTGTCGGCGCACTCGTCGGTTCTTCGAGGCGTCCCGGCCTCGGGATGCTTGCCTGCAGCGGGGGCGGAAAAGAGGGGGGTGATGACTAGGGGGGGTGGATATCATGGCGCGGGCCTCGATATTTCCCCAGATTTCATGGCGCCTCTTCTTATTTCATGACGGCCCTGGCCCCCCCGCTGGGCCGCGCACGTGCCGCCGGTCATGATTTGCACCCCCCCCTCTTGCACACCCTCCTCTTGGCCGCTCCCGAAGACCTGCGCCTCGCCGAGAGCATTCCGGGGGTGCCCGAAACGTCCCGACCGGACGCCGGAGACGCGAGTTGTGGCACGGAAGCCGGGCAAGGGCTGATAAATCCGTGGCTGCTAAAATCGATCTCCGGGAAGTTGTCTTCGTCCTTCCGGGAAGAAGCCCGTTGACTGTTTCGCGTCCCGCGCCTCAGTCAGGGAAGTTGTTTTTTATTTCTGGGAGGGCCGTTTTAGCAGCCACGGTTTTAACAGCCCTCGCCCAGCTTCCGAGTTGCGGCACGGAAGCCAGACATGCTCTTGCCATGAAAAAGTCACCACGGCAGGTCTTCGGCGTTTTCAGCGTCCTGGGGCCCTCGCCGGGCCTCAGGACCGTCAAGGAACGACTCGGGGTACAAAGCTGGTCCTGGGGAAGGGGTCCAAACTTAAGTCGGGCCTGTCCCTCTACAGGGGGAATGGTCAAAAATAGTCAGAAATAAGTCCGAGGACTATTTGGGGGGTATTTTTGACAATTTGGGGGCATTTTTTTTGTTATTATTATTTTTCGTCGAAGATCCCTCTGTAGGGGGACACGCCCGACTTAAGTCCAGACCTCCGGGGGCTGGTCTGGGAACGCGGGTCGTCGCTTGCGAGGGTCAGCCGATCTTGTCTGCCCCCTGTCAGGATGCAATTCCTCCGAGGTTGACGTCAGCATCGGCGATGGTTTATCCGCGGCCAACAGCCGGCCAAATCCCGACTGATTCTTCGAATCCCGCTGAATCTGGTGTTATTTGGTTTGGTTTGGCCCAGCGGTTCTTCCATCGGGCTTCTTGAGTTGTCAGTCGTTCTCACGAAAACCTTCCAGGAATCGTTTCCTGACCTCTGGCCGTCCCGAGCGTGTCGGAGGCTCAGAGGTTGGCGGCGCGCCTCAACCGAGGGAAGGTGATCCCGATCTCGGTGATGGCGGTCATTTTCGGGCTTCTTAGGCTCGGCATCGCTCGGACGTGTGCACTTTTCCTTCGGCGAGGACCGTCGAGGAGCATCCTTGATCATTCGGCGAGAAAGCCACGCACGGAACCGAAAAAAGCACACGGGAATGGACGTCCGAGCGATGGCGAGTAGGCGGTCGAAAATATTACCACTAGCCATTGCAGCTCAAGTCATCAGCGGCACTCACCCCTACTCCAACGCCATCGCATACACAATCTTGCCTCGCGGCAGCGGGCGCCCTTTCCCCCTCAGAGAACGCACGTGCGCATGGCCTTCGTGCAGATGGCCATCGTGCGCCTTGGCCTCCTGGTCGTGCAGGCCGGCGTGGTGGAGGGCCTACTCGTCGACGCGGTTCGCGCGCCCTTCTCATCGAGCGACGTCGATGTTCTGAATATCAGACAACACATTCCAGACTGTCAGTTCAGAGGGGCGTTCACCAGTGGCAATTACGCGTACCTCACGCCTTCCTTCTCAGGCAACGCTGGGTGGGGCGGCGTGCTCGTGCGGTTGGACCTCTCGGAGTTCTCGACGGTGGAATCGCTGGACCTGAGGACAATCGACAACGATCTGCAGTATTTTGAAGGAGGATTTGCTCATGGCGACTACGGGTACCTAGTTCCAACATCAACCACAGGGTGGACAATATCATACGACGTCAGAATGGGCAAAGTCGTCAGGTTCAGCTTGTCAGATTTCAGCCTCAGCACCGTGCACGTCCTCGACCTTGCGCAGACCGACGCCACTCTGAAAGGGTTCAGCAGTGGGTTTACCGATGGCGCGTGGGGTTACATGGTGCCGTGGTACCCTGCCACCACCGCTGGCCAGATCCCCATTGATTCTGGCAAAGTGGCTCGGTTCAGCTTGGCAGATTTCAGCACGGTGCAGGTGCTCGACTTAGAGGCGATCGACCCGAGCCTTGAGGGTTTCTACAAGGGGTTCTTCGCTGGCGGTTGGGGGTATTGCTCAAATCCATAACTAATAACGCGGGTGATGGGAAAATGGTTCGATTCAGCGTGGTAGATTTTACTACAGTGGAAGTGCTCCCTAACGAACACCGACGCTGGCCTCGCCTGCTTCTTCGGCGGATTCACCGACGGTACGTGGGGGTACGCTGTGCCGTACTATTCGGGGAGTGGCGGGAGTGGCCACTTTGGTAAGGTCCCGCGGTTCAGGCTGGACGACTTCAGTACGGTGCAAGTGTTGAATCTAGCAGATCAGAATCCGGCCCTGACAGGATTTTACAACGGTTTCACGGACGGTATGTTCGGGCATGTGATGGGCTACGACAACGGCGCCTACCACAGAACGGTGGTGAGGTTCAACTTGGCCGATTTCTCCACCATCGAGGCGCGCGACTTTGCTTCAGAGGTGGGAAATATGCATCACATAACAGCGGGCGGCTTCGTGCACGGCGACGACAGCTACGTTGTCACGGCAGGCGGCAAGGTCATCCGCTTCGACGCCCAGCCTGCCGCCCAGGCGACTCCGCCTCCGAGCCCGAGCCCGACGCCCGCCCTCGCGCCGCCCGGCGCGGGCGCGGGGGGCTCCGGGGCCTCCGCCGTCGGCGACCCGCATCTGCAGAACGTTCACGGCGAGCGGTTCGACCTGATATGAAGGAGGGCAAGCGCGTTCTGATAAACATCCCTCGTGGAAAGAGCCCTGACAGCGCCTAGCTCCACGTGAAGGCCGATGCGCGCCGGTTGGGTGGGCAGTGCGCGGATCTGTACTTCCAAGAGCTGAACGATACGGGGTCTTGGGCAGAGGCAAAGCAGGCTGGAGGCACTACAGCGTGTCGCATCAGGACGCCGAGACTCTGGGGTGGATTGCCTATGGCGAGGTTGAGCTAAAAGTCATTCGTGGGCGTACGCACAACGGCCTCCGTTACTTGAACGTGTACGCGAAGCATTTGGGTCGAGCGGGGTTTGCTGTCGAGGGGCTGCTGGGGGAAGATGATCATGAGGACGTAATCGTTCCCCCAGGCTCATGCGCCAAGCATGTGGCTCTGGTGGGCGACGAGAAAGCGGGCAGCGAATACCCCTCGGTTGCCTCAGTCGCGGTAGCAACCCTCGCGTAGCTGCGCTGCGGCCTGGACGGCACCGAGGGTATCTCCCCGACCAGCTTTACGAATGGTTTTCGCCAAGCATGAGGCTCGCTCTTCCCCCTTCGCCACTTGCGTCTCCGCCCGAAGGGCGCGCTGAGCCCTTCGCCACTTGCGTCCCGCTGAGCCCCTGACAAGCCCGCGAAGTGGAGCGCCCGCAGGGAGTGCCGACTCACGGCAGCCCGACGCCACTTATTGAGCGGTGAAGCCAATTGGGGCGGTCGCAGGCCAGATTTTGCAAGTCCGTGGCCGCGCCCCTTGAGGCGCTACCAGTTGACCGCGCCTGAAGCCAGCGCCGGTGGGCACTCTCCTGTCCTCCCCTCCTCCCCTCGTGCCTGGCCCTCGGCCCGTGGACGGAGCGAATGCACTCGTGCCGTCGGGCCAGCGCCACTTCTGCTGCTGTTTCGGTTCAGGACTTCCGCTTCTGAAAGAAAAATACCACCAGCACCAGGAGCGCCTGGTGGAGAGGCCTCCATGTGATGGTGTTGGTGCCAATGTGCAGGCCTCCAAGCGAGCGACGCAAAAGAGCGGGGTCGTCTGAGCCGACATAGGCGCGTAAGCTGCCCGCGTAAGTTCGCGCGTAAGCGCCCTCGTCTCCAGTGCAGCGTGCCGCGCTGGCGGCCCGCGAAAGCCGCGGCGTAACGTCGTCACGTCATCTTGCGTCAGACCCGATTCTTTTTGTTGCTGAAGTGTGGGAGCCACGTGGACATGGCCTCGGGAAGTTCCGGACACCTCTGTGGCTCTCTCGGCGAGGCGCGGTTGTTCGGGAGCATCCCGAGGCTGGAGACCCGCCGCGAACCGATGAACTCGGCGGAGCCCCTGACTGCCCTGGGCGTAGGGTCTGAGTCGTTTGGCGGCAAGACCGCGCGGACAAAAGATCGGAGCTGTGGATGCCTGGGCCCTCGCGGAGTGGCTGAGACTTCGAGAAAGAGCAACCGAGACCCCCGTAATCGGCGTGTGATGGAGTACCCTGTGCATTTACGAAACAGCCGTGGCCTGTTCAGGGTCCTTCACCAGGCGCGTTGACTGGAGATCATCGGTTGGTGTAGGGATGTTACATGTTCATTGTGCGGATGGTTATTCCGCCCTTCATAGACAGCTTCCCGGAAGGCAGGATAGCTTTGAAAACCTTTTCGCCTTCTCAAAAAACCGCCCTCTGACGACGTCCCCCTTCTACCCTGGGAGGGCGAAGGGGGGTCCCAGGGAATGGGAAGGGCACGAAGTTTGCTGCATTCGGCGCTGGTTTCGGCTCCACCGCCGGACCATTTCCTCGTGCCGGGAAAAGGAGCTGCATGCATTTGATTTGCGACCCCTTCTTGTGCAGTCCCCCCGTTTCGTCCGCCCCGATCCGAGCAGCAGGTGAAGATGTCTGCTCCCAGATTCTTCGTCTGCTTCACTCTCGCCAGCAGAGCGATCCTTATACCCTGGGTAAGGGGGTAACCCACTGCCGAAGCAGGTGGGGGCCAATCTCATTCGGCCGGGCATGTGCCTGGCTGCCTGCGGAAAACCTCGCCACTATGCCAGTGCGACAGAGTAGCAGGAAGGAGTTTGAACTCGTAACTCTTCGCGTATCTCCACCAGCCCATCCAGGAACGATGCCTGGGGAGCTGCCTTACGTGGGTGAGCGTGGCATTTATTGGAGAACTCGGGGAGCCGCCGTGGGCCACAGCTTGGATGCCTCCCGGAGTCCCTTGGGATGTCTCTCCGGGTCTTGAATGCCTCTTGAGGCGTTTTGGACGCCTCTTGGCGCCTCTGGAGGGCCTCGTGCCCGGGAGCCTCACCGAGGCCTCTCAGGACGTCTTGAGGTCCTCCTTGGCGCTCTGCAGAGCCTTTTTCGCGCCCTTCGGCAGGAGCATGTGTCGACCCCCTTTCGGGATGCCTGTTTTGACCCCCCTCGGGGGGGCCTGTTTTCGCACCTTCTTGTTTCAGATGTACTTTAGTGTGGAAGATGGCCCTACATCGTCTCCAGAGAGGGGGGGGGGCGGCTTTCTTGGAACGCTTGCGACGAAGTTATGTCGGCCGGGAAACACATTCAGGGACACTTGCCAGATAACAGAGGAGCGAAAGAGCGAGGTACGAGTGATGATGCTCTTGGTGGGGCGAAGCCCCTTATGGAGGGGTTGCAGGAGAGGGGCGAAGCGCTACATGGCCAGAGCTGGTCCCAGACGAACTCAAGTGGACCCCCACGAGAGCTCGAGGAGGCCAAACATATTGATATTCCTTCGTATCTTGAGTGGTTTTAAGGTTCTCGCCTGGTTGGGCTTCCGACGGCCCAACACACCGGACAGACCGCCCCAAGACAGCCCATGAGGCCCCCAAGAGGGCCTTAACAGCCCCAAGACAGCCCAGCAGAGCTCAAAAAGGGGCCCAAGAGGCTCCCAAGAGAGCCTTGCGAGGGCCGAAGGAGGCCCCCAAGAGGGCCGAAGAGGGCCCCGAGAGGGTCCCACGACGGCCCAAGCCCCCCAAGACGGCACCAGAGGCCCCTGGGACGGCCCAAGAGCTTCCAAAGAGGAAACCCAGACGACGGAAGGAGGCAAACAACAGAGGGTTTCAATTGCATTTGGTGTTCTCGCCTTTTCGGGCGCAGATAAGCCGAAGACGGCTCTGAGGGCCTCCAGCCCCAAGTGGCTCCCAAGAGGGCCCCAGGACAGCCCAAGAGGGCCTCATGACGGCCACAGAGAGCCCCAAGAAAGGGCAAGAGGGGCCCCATAGGGCCCCGCGAGGCTCCCAAGAGAGCCTTCAGAGTGCCATAGGAGGCCGCCAGCAGGGCCGAAGAGGGCCCCAGGACGGGCCAAGCCCCCCAAGATGGCCTAAGAGGGCCCCAGAACGGCCCAATAGGGTCCCAAGACACCTAAAGGGCCCCCAGAGGACCCCCCGGAGATGGCCCAATGCCCAACGGCGGGCGCAGCTTTGACGCCAAGGCTCCCAAGAGCAACAAGTAATTGGAAGGTTTCGTTTACACGAGCCGGTGACGTCAACGATTTTAGCGCCAAGGGCCCCAAGAGCGAGCAGCAGCGCAGAATGAAGGCTCCCAATAGCGTATGGTGACGTAAACAGTTCGTAACGTCAAGGCTCCCAAGAGCGCGCTGTGACGTGAACAGCTGGTAACTCCAAGGTTCCCAACAGTGAACGGTGACGTAAACAACTCTGCACATTAAGGCTCCCAAGAGCGAACGATGACGCGAACAGCATCTTAACGCCGAGGCTCCCAAGAGCGAACGATGACGTAAAACACGCTCTTCACACCAAGATTCCCAATAGCGAACGGTGACGTGAACAAATTATTAAGGCCATGGCTTTCAAGAGCGAACAGTGCCATGGCCCTCTCGGACAAGCTCCTGAAGCGCTATTTCCGTTCCCGTGCCGGCCCAGCTTCTAACACGCCCTTTCCGTGTTGGCACGGTGGTGGATTGTGGCGGCGGACACGCTGACATGGGTTCACAGCCCTCCATGTTGCTTGGCCTCGTCGAGCAGTGATTGACGAAGGAAAAGCACATGCCCTGCTCTGCGAGAAAAGCGTCCTGTTTCCCAACGCCGTCGCGCAACGAGTCTAGATTTCAGCATCTGGCTTCCTGATCAGGCCCCGCCTGGCCAGTGAGGCATCACCCCCATTGCCCGTAGCAAAAGGAGGTTCTGCAGGCGACGGGGTGCTTGGCTTGCATGAAAAGCGTACGTCCAAACTGCACGCACGGGCAAACACACGCACACACAGACACAGACACACACACACACACACACGCACACACACGCACACACACATTGTTCGTCGGCCACGTGGGCAGCACCGTGGCGGTAACAGAAAGTGTGGGACCGAAACAAGAATGAAAGACGGACAAGGCTGACACACACACACACACGTGTATGTGTTTCAGTCGATTTGAGTACGTGTGGGTGTTTTCGTGTGTGCCTACGTGCGTGTTCTTTGTGTCTGCGTGTGTACGTGTGTACGTGTGTGTGTGTATATGCGTCTGTGTGTGTGTGTCTGTGTAAGTGTCGAGCTCACCGAGGGGCGACTCCAGAGTCCGCAAGGTAATGTGGCGGCGCCCGCGCAGATGGTGTATGTGTGTCTGTGTATGTGTGTGTGTGTCCGTGCTTCTGTGTGCGTGTCTGTCAGTGTGCGTATGCGTGTGTGTATGTGTGTGGTGTGTGTGTGTGTGGTGTGAGTATGTGTGTCATGTGTGTGAGTATGTGTGTGTGTGTGTGGCAGCGTACCTTCCGCGGTCGTTCCCAGCGCAGTCTGGGCTTCATCCACAATGTTGGGTGGAATTTGAGCGGTCTACGCCAATCCGCCGACCCGCAGCGGAGCAGAGATGTCCAGGGCGTTCGGTAGGCTATGTTTGAGCTGGAGTTGGTGGGTGCTGTTCTTCACGCCCGCGAGCGCGGATGAGAATGAGGAGACGGAGAAGGAGGAGGAGGAGGAGGAGAAGGAGGAGGACGAGGCGGAGCAGGAGGAGGAGGAGGGAGGAAGGAAAGTCCAGGGGTGCAAGGGGGGCTATTGTGCGTTGTTGCAAACAATGAAGTTTTCGGGCCGTGGTCCTCTCTCCTCCTCCCCCCTCCCCCGTCTGTTAAGTGGTCGGTGGGCGGAGAGGGCGGGGGCGGCGCAAAGTCAGGTGGCGCCGTTCTGACATAACACGTTATGTTTGTGTTATCCGCTCAAGTTTTTTGGCTCGAGCATGCCTGCAGAGGTTTCTGCGGCGTCGCCCGAGTACTTTTTCCTTTGCTCACCGCGCGGCAGTAGTGCGGGCGATTCCGACAGTTCGGGCTGCTCTTCGTGGGAGCTGGTCGAGCTGGAGTGCTACGACGAGGGGCAGGTGCCGGACCTGCCGGTGAGTGCGCTGCAGAGCGCCGACGAGACGGCTCGCTTCGGGTGCTGGCCGTTCGGTCTCCTGGTGTGGTCGCTCTTCTCCTTGGTGAGTGATCCTATCGCGGGGATTCAGCTGACGATGTCGAGGGTCTCGAGCTACAGATGCCACTTGAGCCATGGTCGCGGCGCTTCTACCGCCAGAGTGCGACCGACGGTGTGGAGGTGCAGTTGGTACGCCGCAAGAGTGGCAACGTGTGGGCCGTCATCGGTCTGGACTTGACGCTAGGCCTGATCTGTATCACGGCGAAGACATCCATGTTCACGGACCCAGTGGCGGGGATTCGGTGGCGGCCAATGCCACCTCTTTCTGCAGCCCAGAGGGACGCCTACGTCAGCCAGGCGACGGAGGGACTGAGGGCGTCGACGGTGCCGATGTTGCCGCTTTATCGCCCCGGCAAGGGTGGTCAGTAGGCGATCGCGGTGAACGTCCTGTATGCCGTTTTCAGCTCGGGGGCTTCGTCACTCAAGACGCTGAGGTGGTCTTTGAGGAGTCCCAAGCGTTTCCTGGGTGTGCTGGCCGCGTTGTTCGTATTGTACGAGCTGCTGGTGCTGCTGGGCGTGATCGAGTATATGACGGAGCATTGGGTGTACACGATCAGCTACCTGGTCACGGCCAAGGATGCTTTCGTGGAGAGCTCGGAGGTCGTCCAGGAGTGGGCCACCTACCTGTGGGAGTGGAAGGAGTGGGCCCAGACGCTGATGCCTCTTCAGCGTTGGTTTGCGATGTTCTTGTCCCTGATCCTTCTGACCCTGTGGGCGGCTCACGAGTGGTCGGACAGCGTGGAGTATGGAGAGTCCTCTATTGGGTCATCAAGTGCTTCGAGTGTGGATGTGCCCGTCGGTGCGACTGCTTCGGTGCCTCCGCCCGTGCCGCCGCTTGGCTATCTGTCAAGCGGAGAGAGTGCAACGCTGGCGAGCCAGCTGAACGATCTCGTGGAGTCCCAGAAGGCCATGATGGAGGAAATCAGCGAGATCAGGACCGCCGAGAGGACGAGGGAGTTACGTCGGGATGTACTCGAAGCTTCTCTGGACTCGCGTGGTCGCGCGGACGCCGAGGCCAGCAAGCAGGTGATCGAGGGCATGATTGCGCGGCTGGACCAGTTCGAGGCTCGTCTGAAGGGCGAGGCGCCTGCGGAGGCTGGAGCTGGCGAGCGTGGTGCTGCTATCGAGGGGGCGAGTTCTTCGGCTTCTGCAGTCGCCGTGCTCGGGTCGCCCGCGAAGAGTACCCCCGCGGTGGTGATGGAGACGCCCGAGAAGCGAGTTGCCTCTTCGCAGCCGGAGGCCGTCGAGCTGGCCATCAAGCGGATGCGCTTCAAGGCTCAGTTGCCGCAGCAGGTGTTCATGGAGCAGCTGGACGGGTACAAGGAGATCGAGCCCGAGGAGTGGAACAGCCGCATGCCCGAGGGCTACCGGCAGCGAATATCGGCCGAGGTGTTGTCGGAGATCTACTCGTCGGGCAAGACGGCCGAGGCCTGGGCGCGGGACTTCATCAGGGACTGCGGCCTGGGCGACTGCAACACGGCTCGGGAGATGATCGCGGCCTTCGCCGCGGTGGACACGATGTTGATGACAGATCGTCAGAGGGGACTCCTCAACCTGGTGAGCTTCGAGCGGTTGGTGCGAAAGGGCTACGCCATTGTGAGGGCTTACCGCAACGTGAACAGCCGCGACGATTGGAGCCGCCCCAAGGATGCCAAGAACTGGAAGTCGAAGGTGGACTGGGAGGCGGCGCGTCGCTTGGACCCCCAGCTTGCCGACGAGAGCACTATTCGGGTAATGAGCGCCGAGGAAGAAATGAAGAAGGCCATGGGTCGCGACGCGCAGCTGATGAAGGCGCGCTCCGACCTGGACGGGGGCGCGGCGGCCCCGCCGTGAGAGTCAAGGAGCTTCAATTGGGGCTACTCGGTTCCGAGCCGGGGGGCCCTTGCAGCTGGCGTCGTGGTGCCCCTGCGCGTCGGCTAGTTTTGGCTAGTGTCTTCTTTCTGCTGCAGCTGACTCGCATCATCGCCGTCGGCTGGCCCGTGAGCTTTTGCGCGGCGAATTTGGGTTTTCATGTCGCGGCGGCGGGGCATCCCGTCCGAGGTGGTGCTGTTCGCTCGCCCGGAGCGCCCCGCTTCGACTTCTCGTCGGGTGCTGTCGCGCTGGAAGGAGGAGATGGAGCTGGTGGATACGGCGAATCGTTTTCTCTTGGCTTTGCGTCAGCTCTACCGCGGGAGTCTGGACGACAGTCTACTGGGCCTGGCCGACTGCTGGGGCCAGGGGATCGTGCCCGACAACCTGGACGGGGACCTTTCTCGGCGGGTGCTGGGAGAAGTTCGTCGCCAGTCGCCGCCGTCGACCACGCCCTCACAAGGGGCCGCGCTCTTGCGGCTGCGCCCTGCTGCCTCGGCGGCGGGCCATCAGTCCCAGTCCACCTTCAAAGAGAGGGTGGCCGAACTTCGGAGGAGGAGTTCTGGCGGAAGTGGACGGCTGCCGGACAGGGGCGAGACGTTTCCAGCTCAATGGGACCGAGTCGCTCTACCTCCTCCGTGGACCAGACCTGTGAGTGTGAGGTATGCGTCGCCTCGCGTGGCACAGAAATTGGATATGTTCAAGGAGGAGATCTTGAGAGAGGATGGCGAGGCTTGCGTTCAGGCCTGCGAGATACGCAACTACGTGGACCCGCATTTCCGCAAGAAGAAGTAAGTGTTACAGCTGGCCCGACGGATGGCTTTGGCGGGGATGTTGTGCCGCACTGCAGTGAAGGTGGACGAGGTCGGGCTCTTTTGCGTCGCGAAGAAGGCGGAGCTGGTGGGGGGCGAGCCCGAGGTGACCCTGAGGCTGGTGTTCGACCAGAGGCGCTCCAACATGCGATGGCGGTCTCCCCCGTGGTGTGCCATGGGCGGCGTCAGTGCGATGTCGTTTCTGGACGTGTCCGAGGAGATGAAGGAGGATGGCGTGACCATGTGCTTCGGGACGGGCGACCTTCCCGACTTCTACTACACGCTGGAGCTGGGGGAGGAGCTGGCGCCGTACTTCGTGATGCCCGGCTTGTCTGGGGATGCGCTGCACGCGCTGCTTCCCGAAGGTTCGTCTCTGCCTGGGAGTGGGTGGGTCCTACGTCGGGGTAAAGGTTGCGTTGATGGGCTTCTCCTGGGCGTGCTGGATAGCTCAGACGACCATGGAGGACATCTTCAATGCTGGGCCCCAGTTCGGGCTTTCTTCGCTTTCAGGCGACCAACGTTTGGCCGAAGGCGGGCCGTTACCCCATCTCAGTCGGGATCTGCCTGCTGCGCACTACGAGTACATCGGCGATTTCGGCATCCTGGGCCTGGACTTCCCGACGCGGCCTGGCCAGGAGGCGGCGACGACGGTGGAGGAGATCTGGCTCGGTGCCAAGGAATTGGTGGTGTCCGCGGGTGTCAAGGTGCACAAGGATGCTTGCGCGGCGGACGCTCGCATGATCGGTGGCGATCTTCGGGGAACTCGTCTGGCGCCGAACAAGGTCAAGATGTGGTTGGCGGCTTTCGGCACACGGGAGATCCTGATCCACAAGTGGGAACAACCCGACACCGTCGCGCGGATCGTTGGTATCCTGTCCTGGGGCTTCTTGATCTGCCGTGGTGCTTTGAGCGTCTTCGCGGACGTGCACGCATGGTGCATGGAGTTCCGAGGTGGAGCTCGGCGCGAGGTCCCACGGGAAGTGCTGAGAGAGTTGGCTGCGGCTGCGGCCTTGGCGCCGTTGATCTCGGTGGACCTCTCGACGCCCTGGGGCCCGATGGTGATGATGTTCGATGCGAGTCTCTACGGTGGTGCGCTCATCTCTACGGTGGCAACGGTGGAGGAGCAGCGTCGAGAAGCACGATATGCAGTTCGAGGAGGCTGGACCGTCTGGACGGGCATTTCCTCGTCCTGGGCTGCGGGCGCCCGGTGCGAGGGGGAGGCCTTCAGACGCGTGGGCACCGACGTGGAGTTGGGCACCCGGATCCGCGTTCCGCCTGCGCACAAGTGTTGGGACGACATCGCCGGGTGGAAGGAGGTTGTGCGCTGGCGCTGGGAGGAGAAGGAGCACATCAACTTGCTGGAGATGCGCACGGGGGTGGCCGCGGCGAGGCACTCGGCCCGCGCCCGGGCGAGCTGGGGGAAGAGTCACTTACGCATCACGGACTCGATGGTCTGCCTCGGCGGCTTCAGCAAGGGCAGATCGGCCAGCCGGCCCATTCTGATCTTGTGCAGGAGAATGGCCGCCCTCGACCTGGGGTGCGGCATGCGGGAGCACTGGCGCCGGGTGCCGTCGGACCGCAACCACAGCGACGGGCCGAGCCGAGGTTTTCCGATTGGGCAGGCCCCGAAGGAGCGGGGGATAGACGAGCTGGCGTTGCCAGAGGAGGTGGCTTCGAGCATCGAGGCCCTGGCGGACTTGGCGGAGGTGGACCCCTTCCAGCCGCTCAGGATGGGCGTCTCGGTCCCGGTGAAGGTGCTGCGCTTCGCCCACCTCTGCAGTGGGCACACGCGCATCGGGGATCTGGAGGACTGGCTGCTCAGGATCGCGGGCTCGCGAGGCTACCTGATGATCTGCACCAGCGTGGACATCGGCTTCGGGGCGGAGTTCGACCTGGCGGACGAGGTCAACGCGCGGAAGCTGGAGCTGCTGGCAGAAGTGGAGACGGACGGAGGACACTCAGGCCCTTCATGCTCTACTTGGTCGCGGGTTCGCTTCCAGCCTGGAGGCCCCCCTCCGCTACGTCTGCGAGATCAGCTGCGGGGTCGGCCGGGTCTGCGAGGGGGCGACGCGAAGAAGGTGAAGCTTGGGAACGCGCAGTTGCTGAGCAGCTTGAGGATCCTGAAGGCGATCGGGCTCAAGGGCGGCTCGGTCTCCATCGATCATCCTGCCGATCCGGGTTGTCCGCCGTTTCCATCGATCTTCGTGACCAAGGAGCTGGTGGACTGGGGGGCCCAGTTGGGTGCCTACCGAGTGACCTTCCCGCAGTGCATGCGGGGCTGCCCCGCGCTGAAGCTGACGACGCTCACGGGGGCGGCCTTCGGGATGCAGCGGTTTGTTCGTCCCTGCGTGCGCGAGAACCACTCGGCGAGCCTCTGTGGCAAGGACGAGAGCGGTCGCTTTCGGACAAGGGTGGCCCAGGCGTACCCTTCCGACTTCTGCAGGATGTTGGCGGAGTGCCACGTGGACGCGATGCTGACCATGCAGGAGAGACGGGAGGCCGACCTGACCGAGAGGGCCGTGGAGCAATTGATCTCAGAGACCTTGGAGCGCAGGCGTCGGGACGCTACGTTGCTGGAGTCATTACCTGCAGCTTTCCTTCGAGCCTCGGGTTGACTGGGGACGGAAGTCCATGTGCGATGGGCCGGCCCCCGCCCATGCCCGACGATGTTCGAGCGCAAGCGGTGCAATATTATGTGGACATGATGCAAGATCTACAGGATTGGGCGCAGCAATGGTTCAGCGACCTCACGCAGCGGGCCACCGATGGTACCGAGTGGCAGGAGTGGCGCGTGGCCTTCCTGACGGATGCACTGCTGAGCGGCCCCAACCAGGCTCTGAGGCGCCTACTCGTCCGCGGGCTACCTCGCCGCGCGATCACCGACATCATCAGAGATCTTTGCAGCAGCACCTGGAGGGCGACGCAAGATCAAAGGCATCGCTTGGTCGCGAGCTTTCGAGAAGCGACTCCGACGGAGAGACAGCGGCTACAACAGGAACGCTGGACGGAGCTGGAAGATCTTCGTGCGATGTTTCGGGTTCGACTTGGTGACCAGGCGCCTGACCATCGACGATCGCCACGTCTCGGGGAGCCCGACGTGGATGATGAGCAGCCGTCGACCGGGACCGCGTGCCGGTCCAGGTGCCCGCGGTGGTCTGTGCTCCTGGGTTGGCTGCTGCTACCCTTTCTGTCGGACGCCGTCGGTGAAGAGAGGCTACGGCACCACGCTCAGCACCGCAAGATGGGCAATACCCACCGCAGGAACGACGCGGAGGGCGCGCGCCCACAGGGGGTGCAACGGCGGGAGAGAACCACCTATGGGCTGGCATTGCTGCCGTTCTCGGTCTCCACCAAGACGGCGCTGGGCTGCTACGTGCCCAACGTGCGCCGTTTCCTGAACTTCGCGCTAGAGGTGAACCTGCCGATGATGAGCCGAGAGGAGATCGACGACTCAGTTCTTTGCTACTTGGACCGCCTGCTCGAGGACGAGGAGGTGGGTCCGCATCGAGGAGATTTCGTTGTGCATGGGCTTGCCTACGTGTGGCCCGAGCACTCGACGGCGCTGCCGAGGTCCAACCGAGCTCTTCGAGCTTGGCATCGACAACGTTGCGGGAGAAGGGAGGCCCCAGCCCCTCGAGCTCTGGGCCGTGCTGGACGAGGCCACGAGGTTGGCCGGGAGCGTGGAGGCCGCTGACGCCGCCGAGGTCGCCCTGGACGCCCACCTCAGGTCCGCGGAGCTGTTCGCCCTGCGGGCGGCCGACATCGCGGTCGACGTGGACGAGGCGGGCGAGCAGATAGTTGCTCTACGACTCGGGGTGACCGAGCGTGGTGAGAGGACCAAGACGGGCGTGAGGCAGGGCGTGCTGATCGACCGTCGGCATGTGAGTGACATGCTTGTGCGCAGGAAGTCCGAGCGAGACCCCTCGGACCGGGTCTTCAGCTGCTCGGTGGATGCCTACCGCCGGGCGCTGAGGCGAGCCTGCGACGACGTCGGTGTCGAGCACTTCCCGCCCCATGCTGCCAGGCACTCGGGGCCGAGCCACGACGCGGCGACGGGCTACAGGACGGTGTGGGCCATCCAGCCGCGCGGGCGGTGGGCTTCAGAGAAGAGCGTGCTCAGGTATATGAAGACGCACGCCCTGGTGGCCGCCCGCGCCGCGCTCCCGCCAGACATCCTTGAGCGCGGGAGCCGACTGATTCACAAGAAGAGCGGTCGCCCTGAAAAGGCTCGTGAGTGATCCACTTCGTGTTGTGAATGATCTACGGAGTTTTTTGGAGCCCTGCCGAGGCTGTGAATGCGCGACGGCTGCGGGAGGCGCCCGAACCCTCCCACCCAGCCCAGGCGCCGCCACAGCCAGGCGCTAATGCAAGCTACGCGGTGGTGTGGGACCTGATACGGGGTCTGCTTCAAATCTCTGTAATTTATTGTGGCGCAGACCCCGCCGTCACCTTCTGCCGCCGCTCTCGGCGGCATCATGTCCACGGTTCAGGCAGAAAATAGAGAGTTCAGTTTAGGCTGGCGCCACCTTCCGCCGCCCCCCGCTTGGAGAGAGACAGTGACCCGTGCCTCTAAATGTGTGTTGTTGCAAACAATGAAGTTTTCGGGCCGTGGTCCTCTCTCCTCCCCCCCCCTCCCCCGTCTGTTAAGTGGTCGGTGGGCGGGGAGGGCGGGGGCGTCGCAAAGTCAGGTGGCGCCGTTCTGACATAACACGTTATGTTTGTGTTTTCCGCTCAAGTTCTCCCTCCCTCCCTTCCCTCTTTCGCTCCCCGTTCACTTACCTCGTCACAGCTCTGTGGGGGCCTGATGCGGGGTCTGCTTCAAATCTCTGTAATTTTTTGTGGTGCAGACCCCGCCGCCACCTTCTGCCGCCGCTCTCGGCGGCATCATGTCCACGGTTCAGGCAGAAAATAGAGAGTTCAGTTTAGGCTGGCGCCACCTTCCGCCGCCCCCCGCTTGGAGAGAGACAGTGACCCGTGCCTCTAAATTGGGTTTGTCACGGGGCTGCTTGGCGGCTTCTGGGAGGTCTCCGGTGGATGCTCTGGGGAGGTGGTTATCGGGTCTTGGTGGGCGCGTGAGGTTGGTTGGGAGTTTTGCGGAACAGTTTCTAGGCTGGATAATCAAGGCTGCTTCTCGTGATGTCTCCCTGGGGCCTCTTAGAGGGCTTTGGGGACAGCTGGTTCGATTTTTAGGTGCCTTTTGGGGACCTGTTTGGATTCTATCGGGGGCCTCTTGGACGCTTCTTGGGGGCCTCTTAGGGGCGACTTGGGGGTCTCTGGGGGGCTTGTGGGGGGTCACGACGGGGGGACAGCTGCGAGATGTTTGTCTGCATTGCTTCTCTTAGGCCTTGTTCGGGAACTTCGTTTGCCGTCTTAGGGGGCCCTGGGGCCGTCTTGGGGCCCTCTTGGGCCGCCTTGGGGTTGTATTGGGCCGTCTCCGGGTTTCATTTACAATTTTGGGTGGACGTAATACTTTTTTTTCCCGCACACATTTTGACGCGATTGTGGTGACACATCGTCAGCGGAGGAACATGTGGTTGCGAGCGTGCGTGCGTGTGTTTGTGTGCGTGCCTGTTTGTGTGCATGTGTATACGTGTGTGTGTGCGCGTGTGTTGTGTGCGCATGTCACGTGTCATGTGTGAAGTAGGCTCCCTGACGAGACGCCCGCCATGGGTCGCAGTCGACGCCTGGTTTGCCTACACTATCGATTGCTATGTTCTCACACACATGCTATCAAGGGGCGGAGGTCCGCATGCTTACTTCAAGACAGCTCTCGCAACTCAGCAACGTCCTGGGCGATGGACAATGTATGCGTGCTTCCAGAATGTTCGGACGCTATCTCCAAGGTCGTGGTATAGAGCCCAGAACCCTATGTATTGATTCGCTTCCCCCTGATTTGTTATCGCCATCCTGCGTAGATGGGGCGGGGAGGGGAAGGGAGGGGGCACAAGGGGATGGAGGAGATGGATATGGTAGCTCTGACATGCTGCGTGAAAAATGGAACGTTTCCTACTACGATGTGCATTCCAAGCCGATCACGAGAAGACCTGCTAAGAGGCAGGGTTTGGACCGACGTTCTGAGTAGTGGTGTATAGGTTCTGGCTTGGGGACCCTCTGGGAACCTGGGAAGTAAAGGGAGAGGAGGACGAGGAGCCCCTCCGTCCACGAGGCACTAAAGCCCGTCAGGAGGCAGAGAGCTCTGTTTGTTTACTCTCGCTCGTCATCCTGCGGCGATAAGAGCGGGGCCGCGAATGGAGGGAGAGGGAGACGAGGAGAGGGAGGAGGTGGAGGAGAGGCACCGTTGCTCTGCGCCTTCTCAGGGCTCGCTGCTGCTCTTGTACCGTGTGGTGCCCCTGCCGCGGCGCAGGGGCCTGCCGCCTCGTTTGCAACTCGCCGCCCATCACTGCGCTACGCCGGCTTCTTCGCACCAGCAGGACGTTGCACTCCTCCTCCTCCTCCTCCTCCTCCTCCTCCTTCTCCTCCTCCGCCTAGAAACTCAAGTTCGACCAGCGCAAGAAAGTGGGAAACGAGGAGGCGGGTTGGCACTGTCGGCTGGCCCCGACCCCCCGCCCGCGAGGCGCTGGAGCCCGCCAGGAGACCCAGGCTGCACAGGCTGCACACGATGCCGGCGCCCGGCGGGGGGCGGGGGTCTGGCCGCGGCGGCGGCTCGGCGACGCGCAAGACTCGGGCCGGACGAAAGCGGGGGATAGGGAAAGGGGAAGGTACGAAATTTGCTGCGTGCAGCCCAGTCCACGAGGCAGGGCCGCCTCCCGGCGCCGGGAGGCGCCGGGAAAATCAACGATGTGAGCTGATTATCAAACCCCCTTTTGCTATCCCCCCCTTTTCGGCCGGCCCGAGAAGCGTCCCGACCTGCTTACAGTCGGCGGCGAGCGAGGGGGGAAAGTGAGAAGGAGGAGGCCTTCTCAGAAGGCGGTGCGGCTTCCCAGAAGCTCTCGCGCCTTCTAAGAGGTTTTCTGTGTCTTCGGGGAAGGCTTAGAAACGTTTCAGGAGGCTCGGGGGACTCCCGAGCGTTGTGAGAAGGCCCGCCCCTTCTTACTTCCCCCCTTGGCTTGCCGCCAATACAGGCCTACCACAGCATGTCCTAAGAGCCGTCTCTTGTCTGCAGGGCATCTTTTTGGAGCCTTCCTGGCCGCCGCAGGATTGTTTCAGTGCATCGGTCTATACTAACTGCAGTGGCATGGCCACTGCTGTCAGAGCATTCGCTTGGTCTAAGAAGATGTCGTGCTAGGCCCATAGCTCGGCATCGCTCGGACGTGTGCATTTTTCCTTCGGCGAGGACCATCAAGAAGCATCCTTGATCAGTTGGCGAAAAAAAACACGCACGACATCGAAAAAAAGCACAGGGAATGGACGTCTGAGCGATGGCCAGATAGGAATGCCGGGATGGCCAGCGTCTGCCCAGGGCATGTCGGGGGCGTCCGAGGACCAGGGCGCGCGCGAGGGCGGTTTCGGAGGCTCGGCATCGATCGGACGTGTGCGTTTTTTTCTCGGGCGGGGGCAAACGAGGAGCAGCCTGGATCATCTGGCGCAAGAGCCACACACGAAACTCGGGCCGGACGAAAGGGGGGGATTGGGAAAGGGGGGGTTACGAAATTTGTTGCATTCAGCTGGTTTCGGCCTCACCGAGGGGCCCAGTCCTCGATACATAGCCGCCTCCGGCGCCGGCGCCGGGAAAATCAGCTACTTGAGCTGATTCTCAAACCCCCCCTTTGCTATCCCCCCCTTTCGCCCGACCCGAGAAAGCGAAAACGCACGGGGAATGGACGTCCGAGCGATGGGGAGGAGGACCTGTTGGGGCTGGTTCTTGGGGGATCGGCGCGCCCCAGGATGCTCTCCGGGCCAGCGGCCCTGGAGGGCTCTGAGGAGGTGGTTGCGACGCTCCTGCGCTGCCAGAGGCGCTGCGCTGATACCTAAGCCCTGGTCCCCCGAATCCTTGAGAGCCCAATATGACAGCCGAGGGGCGAGAGGATAGGCGAGAGGAGAGGCAAGATTGATATGATGCAACTGGTCTCGCATTGTTATACGGTGCAATGTTGCAATCTTCATAACACATAACGTAGTATGATATGAGATCATGTGGACCGATTCTGTAACGAACTCGCGCTACACTCAGTCGTTTCCTCAACACTTTCAGGTTTTTGGCGAGAAGGAATGATTCGCATTTGAAGACGCAGCAAAGCGTAGCGAGGAAACCAGACAAGGAGCATGCGTGTCGGGCAGTGCAAGCTAATTGGCGTCCAAGTCAGGTCCCACAGACCGGCTCGGGCCTCTTTGGTTCAATGTTCTCCCGGGAGTCAGGCCCTTGAGCGCTCCTGGGGAAGGGGAGAATGACGCAGTCGGCCAGGAACCGCCGCGGCGCCGGAGCATCCGATGCTGCCTCTTCCAAGGCGGGGGCGAGCACCGGTGGCACCAGTCGGAAGGAGGGCCGCGCGGCAGGGTCCACCAGTGGGATGGCGGCCTGGGCGCTGCCCCTGCTGTCCGGGCTGGTGGGACTCTCCGTGGCGGAGGCTCTCCGGAAGCCCGGGGGCCTCTTCGGCATGCCCCTGGCCGCCCTCATCTCAGGCTACGCGTACGGCCCCGTGGGCGGAGACCTCGAGCGCTGGCTGTGGCAGCATGGTGGGTGGCCAAACGCGTACGTCGCCCCCGTGGCCAATGGCGGCCGAGGGCTCGTGGCTGCATTCGACCTCAGCCCCGGCGATCAGGTGCTGTACGTGCCGAAGCATCTGCACCTGCGGCTTCCCGGCTCCTGGGAGAGGCGGGCCCGGATCCCAGGCGAGTCCGAGGGCGACGCCAAGAACGACGGCGAGTCTCACGCCCTCGGCTCCCTCTCGCAGAGGCTGCTCGAGGAGGGGCGGATGATGAACGAGTCCAAGTGGGGCCCCTACCTCCGGAGGGTGCTGCAGCCCGCGGACGGCCCCCCAACCTTCAACCTGCTCATGTGGCCACGGGAGGCCGCCAACCTCGGTAGGATGCTGGTGCCGCATTACGTGAGGAAGCTGGACACGGCGCTGCTGCAGTCAGACTCTGTGGAGTTCCGCTCGTCGCTGCGGCACACCACCTCGCGCTTTCATGGTGGAAATGTGACAATGGGAGACATCTACGTGGTTCCCATGGTCGACTTCATAAACCACGCGACCCCGAAGGAGGCGAAGGCCAAGGTCAAAATTGCCGGCACAAGCGGCATGGTTGTGGAGGCCTTGTCGCACATCAGTGCTGGCGAGGAAGTGACCATCACCTACGGCGAGCTGCCCAATGCGCACCTGCTGGTAGCCTACGGCTTCAGCCTGGCTCAGAACGGCATGGGCTCTCAGGTCTTCTTCGTCGACCCGCTCTCGGATGGCGGCGACAGCGACTGCAAGTGGCTGCTGCAGCACTTGGCCCCAGAAGGCAATCTGTACCTGTCCGACATGAACAGCCAAGTCTCTGAGGAGGGCTGGGCTTCCTGCCTTCGCGGGGTCCAGGTCCAAGAGGATCCCGACCATGGGCAGAAGCGCTACCCCGTGCCGCTCGGCGAGGCATGCCGCAGCAGGGCGGCCTCCATCCTCGCCGCACTTGAAGACGTCGCCCAGGTGCTCGAGCGCCAGGTCTGGACTCCGCACGAGGCGTCCGTGCTGGGGCAGCTCCAGGAGGTTGCCGGGACCGAGCTCCGGGCCATCCAGCTCTGCGCGGGCGATGCCAGGACCTGAGCTGCGGCTGCGCCGGGCGTGCAGCGCGGCGTCCGAGTCCTTCTCGTCCGCGCTTCTGCCAAGAGACCCTCAGGGAACCGCGCGACCGTCGGCGCGACGTGCCTGATTCAATATTCTAAGTGAATACTCTCCCAAACCCGTGCTGTCCTGGTGCTCGGGACCGAGTTATCCGACCAAATCAGATGGCAAATCCTTTGGGAGGTAGCGGCCAAAGCCGTGAGATCTGCCTCACTCTAGTCTTGAATATTATCTCGCCCTCATATCTGTATTGGCTTTGAGGGTAAGCATGATTTCGCGGCATGACGAAGTTCTCACGATCACCCCTTCTCGAAAATCATGGCTGGGATGCGGCCAGTCAATTCAATGTGAAACGGCACAGCCTGACAGCCATGCTCAAGACCCGAGTTAGGATTCAGTCGGGCGTGTCCCTCTACAGGAGGAATATTCCAAAATAGTAAAAAAATAGTCTGGGGACCTATTTTTAATTATTTGTTTGACCATTGTGGGAGTATGTTGGGAGTATTTTTAATTTTCCGCCCAAAATCCCCCTGTGGGGTTGTGTTTCTGTCATTCCCTTCATGGCCATTTTCTTCAAAGTCCGTCCCAGGCTGCAGGTCGTAGGAAATTCTGGGCTCCGAGCCCAGGCGAACTCTCCTCCCTGCTGCTTGGGCGTCATTCAACGTGCTGGTTGGATGGGATGTGTGTTTGACTCTCACATTTTGTTAATTGAAAGTGGTCAGTCTTGTGGAAGCTCTGGCGGTCGGCTAGCGCATTGCTCTGCAACTTACATGTTCGTGGCAATAGTGTTTTGTTAACATGGTGTTCCTTGATCGTGGTCAGATGTGGTGCGAGCTCTGGTGATCTGCGTGTCGCCGCTTTGCCTCTTCCATCATCTAGGTCAGCAGGCGAGCAACTATACGTCTTCGATGCCTGGTCGGTATTCTGGTGGCTTATTTCATATTGTGCGTGGGACTCCCCTTCCCCTGTTTGGACGCGGTCTTCATCTGCTTGCTGACGCCGCGCAGTCAAAATACAAGCAGCCGGTGATACGGCTCCAGTTCGTCGCCGCTGTTCTCCGTTTCCCCGCGTCGTTGGAGAAGCTCTGGGGGTGGTTTCGGTTTGTGATTTAGCCACTGGACATCATCATCATTATTATTCTCCCCATCCTCCGCCTCTCTCCTCCCCCCTCCCTTTTCCGCCCCCTTGCCCTCCTCCACCCCGTCCGATCCGCTTCCCGTTATTCGGCGAACGTCTGTTTGTCGCCCAGTTGCCCCGCTGTAGCCTGACCTCTTGCCCCCCCACCTTGCCCCGCGTCGGCCCGAGACTCGCTGCCCAACGACGGGGGGCGATAGGGGGGGGGATTGGCTCGAGTGCGGTTGGAGGCATTCATCTGGAACAAGGGCGCCATCGAGGGCGCGAAGTTATTCGCGCTTCGCGGTTCGGCTCCGATCCCTCATCCTCCTCTTCTCCCCTGGGAGAAGGCGCGAGAGCGCGAAGTTATTCGCACTTCGCGCATCGCGCCTCCTCCCCCTCCTCCTCCTACGGCTCACTGGAGTCGAGGCTCTTTAGCTATATAGGTAGCTAGATCGTGAGCGATTCGCCTTGCCTTGGCGTTTTTTCTCGAGGCTCTTCGCTTGCCCGCAGAGACAACGTCGCGATGTTGTTCCCTCCCCCTCCTCCTCTCCCCCTGCCCTCGCCCAGCAGCTCTGAGGCCGCGCGCCCGCGCGAGAAATCCTGCAGGCTGTCCAGCGCGCGGCGTTCCCGCCGTCGCCCGCCGATTTTTTGCTGTTTTCCCCCTCCCCCTCCTCCTCCCTCCTCCCTCCTCCTCCTCCTCCTTTTGACCTGCTGAGCCTAAGGTCTTGGTTCAGCTGCCACCGCGTTTCACCACGAGAGTTCTTTATCGCGCATCTTTGTTACCCGATGTGGTTGTACAGTTATCTTGGCTATTTGTATACTTCTAATGTCCACGCTAGCCGGGTGGACGCCGGCGTGTCGCCACTTCGGGGGTATACTCCCCTCGTGAGAAAGCGCGAAGTTGGGAGCCCTTGTGGAAGCGGCGATGCATCGCCGACGGCCGCCATGAAGCAGGTGGATCCCGAGGGAAACGGGCCCCGACGCGGCCCGCCGCCGCGGGGCCTTGGGGCCCCCCCACGGGCCCCGGGGCCGTCGAGGCACGACTCGGGAGGAGAAGCTGGCCTCGGGGGGCGGGGGCGACCCCCTGTCGGGCGAGCAGGCCTATGCACATACAGTCAACCCGCAGAGTAAGGACGTGCGATGAGGGTGCAAGGGCCTTGGGCGCCCATTTCGAGGCTTTCCGAGCGGGGCGCTGCCAACGAAAGTGGCCAAGGATGGGCCGAGGAAGCAAGGATGCAAGGGCACCCGTGGGAGGGATGCCCATCCGTACTCTGCGGGTCGACTGTGCACCGATGCTGGCCAGGCCCGTCCACGGGCTGGCCAGAATCGGTGCATGTGCAGAGTCCTCTTCCCTCTGCCCCTGGTCCAGGACCCCTCCCTCGGGACCCGTCTGCCGCGCCCTTCGAGGCCCGAGGCGCCTCGAGGAGCGACGGGCCCCGCTCCCGCGCGGGCAGGGCGCCGGTGCGGGGACCGCGCTGGGGCCTCGGGAGGGGGTGCGCGCCTTCGGGCCGCCGCATCCGAGATCCAGGCCGTGGAGCCCCCCTCTCCGTGGCCCCGGGCCGCCGACGGCCAGAGAGGCCCTCGGCGGCAAGCGAGGGCGAGAGGGCCTTCCCAGAGGGCGGGTGGGAGGGAGAAGGAGGGGGCGAGCGAGAAGGAGAAGGTCGCGCGCAAGCGCCCTGGTCTGCAAGTGTGACGCGCCACGCCGGCGGGCACAGGGGGGAAGTGAGAAGGAAAAGGCTTCTCTGAAGGCGGCGGGAGTTCTCAGAAGCTTTCGCTTCATGCGCCTTCGGGGAAGGCTCAGAAAATTCCTCAGAAGGCCGGGGGGCTTCCGAGCCTTCTGAGAAGGCCCGCCCCTTTTCACTTCCCCCCCTGCACTCGCCGCCGAGTCTCCTTGGCTTCTTCTTACGCCTTCCTTATGGCAGCGCGATGACTGCACGAAATCGGCGATGAGCCGATGCTTGAGCACACATCGCCATGGATGGAGGCGGAGGAGGGGTGCGAGGGAGGAAGGAGGGAGGGCACGGAGGAGGAGGGGGTGATGGGGGGCGCGGTGAGAAGACGGAGGGCGGGGAACACCCCCACATCGGGGCACGACAACTAAAATGGCGACGGCAGCGGGCCCGCTACGCGAGCGATGGTGGGAACAGTGTGTGTGTGTGTGTGTCTGTGTGTGTGTCTGTGTCTGTGTCTGTGTCTGTGTCTGTGTGTCTGTCTGTGTGTGTGTGTCTGTGTGTCTGTGTGTCTGTGTGTCTGTGTGTCTGTGTGTCTGTGTGTCTGTGTGTCTGTGTGTCTGTGTGTCTGTGTGTCTGTGTGTCTGTGTGTCTGTGTGTCTGTGTGTCTGCGTGTCTGCGTGTCTGTGTGCCTGTGTGCCTGTGTGCCTGTGTGCCTGTGTGCCTGTGTGCCTGTGTGCCTGTGTGCCTGTGTGCGTGTGTGCGTGCGTGCGTGCGTGCGTGCGTGCGTGCGGGCGTGCGTGCGGGCGTGCGTGCGTGCGGGCGGCGGGCGGGCGGGCGGCGGGCGGCGGCGGCGCGGCGCGGGCGCGCGCGCGCGCGTGCGCGCGTGCGCGCGTGCGCGCGTGCGCGCGTGCGCGCGTGCGCGCGTGCGCGCGTGCGCGCGTGCGCGCGTGCGCGCGTGCGCGCGTGCGCGCGTGCGCGCGTGCGCGCGTGCGCGCGTGCGCGCGTGCGCGCGCGCGCGCGTGCGCGCGTGCGCGCGTGCGCGCGTGCGTGCGCGCGTGCGTGTGCGTGCGTGTGTGTGCGTGTGTGTGTGCGTGTGTGCGTGTGTGTGTGTGTGTGTGTGTGTGTGTGTGTGTGTGTGTGTGTGTGTGTGTGTGTGTGTGTGTGTGTGTGTGTGTGTGTGTGTGTGTGTGTGTGTGTGTGTGTGTGTGTGTGTGTGTGTGTGTGTCGCGGGTGCGGCGCGGCAGGGAAGAAAACCAGAACCCCACGAAGCATGTGGGGAAATAGTCCAGGAGGGCCTCCAGAGGCCCCCAAGATGGCCCAAGCGGGCCCCGAGTCGCCGAAAGACCGCTCCAGGACGCCCAAGATAGGCCCAAGACGGCCCGAGAGGCCCCCCAAGGCACTCCACGACGCTTCAAGACGCCTCTCCAGAGCGCTTCCAGAGGCCGAAATCGTCAATTGTACGAAGGTTTTCGAACGATTTTGGCCTGCCAGCCAATAGGCCCCCAAGGGCGCCCCAAGACGGCCCAGGAGGGCTCTCAGGGCTCCTGATAAGACGGCTGGTACGAACAGCCCTGGGACGCGGCCCGCACACGCGCCGACGGTGAGCTGGGCCGAGCGCCGCTGGCAACTCGGGGCACTCGACGGAAAAGCAAATGGTAGGGACGCAAAAGTTCTCCCACCAGCGCACATGCGCCCCCGACGACTCGGGGGCCATCGCCGAATCCGACAACTCGGGCCCGACGGGTTGGAATGCGAGGCACCCGAGCTCGACCTGCGAACGGCGGGGCACCTCACGGCTGGGAGACCATGGCAAGCATCGGCTGGATCTTTTGCTAGGCCTTCGCCTTGTCTGAGCTGAGGTTTGAGTCAAAGTAGAGGGCCCAGAACTGCGCCAATCTCGCGAGGAGCTGCTCGGCGGTCAACTCATCGCCATCTTGGCACCAACGTCCTGATTGACAGCGAAGGAGGGCCAGGGCGGCACCGAAGGCAGGTCAAGGATGCGGCTTGTGAAATCCTCCTCGTCGTCGAGATCGTGCACGTCAGAGCCCGAGCCACCGCCACCAACGTGGCCGTAGGGTAGCCTTGCGCCCACGGGATTCGGCTCGTGGTCCTTCTCGTCGTATTCCTTGTTGTTTATGCCGCATGCCGTGGCCAATCGAGTCGAGGCCCCAGAAGACGCTCAGCTCGGCGACACACTTTTGTTTGAAGTCCTTGAGGTTCTTGGAGTTCCCGTCAGTGGAGACACAGCCGCGATCATGAACGACGTGTCGCCTCCACACCATGAACGCATAGTCCAACACGTTCCTGCAGTAGTGAGGCCCATCTTCTGCTTGAACTCCTCATCGGCCTGGTCGAACAAGCTCTCCACCACAGCCTGGCCCAGGATATGAGGAGTGGCACTTGCATTGCACTTCAGCAGTGCCCTCGAAACCCGAAGGTCTTGAAGTTGCACATCAGGTCCAGACACCGCCAGATCTTGACCTTCTCCGCCTCTGGGGCCGTCTCCGCGGTGGCCTCCGAAGCCGCAGAGCAGGCCTCGGCTGCAGGCTCCGACACGCCCTCCTTCTCGGCGTTCTCGAGCTCCTGGCGATTCTGCAGGATCGGCTCCCGCAGCTTGTCCCTGGTCGGCTCCTGCGCCTCCCTGCGCCAAGGGGTCTTCTTGTCCACGGGCTGCGGGCGGCGACGCAATCCGGTGCCCATCCTCCCTTCCCCGCCGACGCGGCGGAGAGGTGGGCACCCCTAGTAGTGGAGATGGGCGGCCCGACGGCACCCTCGGCCGCTTCGCCCGCCGCCGAGCCGAAGACCAGCTGGTCGAGCTCATTCGTGAACACGACTTTCAGCTCCGACTGGCCGCCAGCCGCGATGAACTGGGCCTCCAGCTGCCCGAGGACCGTGCCGATGCACGCCTCGTGGGGCGCCGCGCTGGGCACCAGCAGACTCATCAGCAAGCCATGGCCTCGCGCCGCGGCTCGTGCGCGCTGCGCCCAGGAGGAGGAGGAGGAGGAGGAGGAGGAGGAGGAGGAGGAGGAGGAGCAGGAGCAGGAGCAGGATGAGGAGGAGGCGGAGGAGGAACAATGACAAGAAGAAGAGGAGGGCTCAAGCCTTGTCCTTTGGGAGTTCTGTGGGGCTCTAGGGGGCTGTCAGGGATGCTATAGGAGGTTCCAGGATGACGTTGGGAGGATGAGGGGTGGAGGAGTGAAGGGGTGGCAGGAGGAGGAGAAGGAGGAGGAGGAGGAGGAGGAAGAGGAGGGAGGAGGGAGGAGGGAAGAGGGAGGAGGGAGGAGGGGGAGGGAGGAGGGAGCAGTGAGGAGGGAGGAGGGGTCCGTAGCCATTTTAGCTCAAGTCCGTAGCGGTGGCTCAGAGGACTTAGAGTTTTTGTGGCAAGGGGATTTGCGGCCCCATCTCGATCTTCAGTGCTTTTCTGATACTCTTACTGGGGCTTGTCCCCGCCTTTTCTACCAACACGTTCGTTTCAGGCACTCTCTGTACTCGTGTGCGATGGCGCGTAATGCTTCTTCTCTCGGTGCTGACGCTTGGGTTTATCACCCGTGGGTTCGGCAGGGGGGAGGTGGCGGCGCTGCGCACCACACTCCACAGTCCAAGAGTGCATGTCCGTCCTGCGGCTGTCGTCGCAACCTGCCGCACTTCAAGTGGTGCAAGCACTGCCATTCCGACCTGCCGAAGGTTCAATGTGCCCCTGTCCAGCCTGCTTCAGGTGCATGGGCGCGAGGTTTCGGGTCTGCTGAAGAGGAGGTCGAGGCGCTTGTTCGCATGGGCGGCAAGGGCAAGGGAGGGCGCAAGGGCCAAGGCAAGAAGGGCAAGGGCAAGGGCTCCGAGCTTGCAGCTGCAGGCAAAGGCGCTCGTGCTGTGGCTCTTCCCGACGTTCCACATGGAGCGCTTCCGCCTGGACCAGTGCCCCGCTTGTCCGCCATCGAAGCCAAGCAGCTCGCCGAGTTGCATTCGAAAGCTGGAGAAGAGCAGTTGGCAGCCAAGTACCGTGCCATCGCCGTCTCCCTCGACAAGTCGGAGCGCGCCCCAGCGCCGTCTCTGCAGCAACAGGTTCAGTCCGCCCACGCTGCTGCCCGTCGCAAGGAGCGGGCACTTCAGGTCGAGTTCTCGAAGCTCAATCGTTGGAGGGCTGAGCTGGAGGAGCAGCGTAAGAAAGTGGCTGAGCTTCACTCTGAGTTGGGCGAGGCAGATGCCGCATGCAAGAAAGTCGTTTTGGAGCTGCAGCAGCAGGTGCCTTCTGAGCCAGCACCCGCAGCTGTGGCCCAGGTCACTCTCGAGCAGCTGGTGGACGGCACCGTCTCCATTGACAAGATCATCTCGACTGACGTGCTCGAAGTTGCTGATGACGCCCGCGACCTCGAGGAGCAAGACCGCAAGGAGATTCAGCAGCGTAAGGATGAGCTGTCCGAGAAGGCGCGCGAGGCAGCCAAGCCATTGTTCCAAGACGCTTTGTCGAAGATCAAGCAGGCCAAGGAGCAGCGCTCCAAGCACCTCGAGAGGCTTGGCAAGAAACGCAAGACTGGTGCTGGCAACGTCTCAGACGCCGCTACGCTGGGGGGCGAGGCAGCTGCAGCAGGAGAAGGGTCTGGTCAGTCTACAGGGGCTGGGTCGTCGTGTGCTTCCTCTTCGGTTTCGCGGCCTGAGCCTCCTGAGCCTGGCATTCGCACATTGGTTGCAGGCGAGCTTTCCAATCCTCTCCCCCTCCCTGGGAAGGGAGGGGGACAGTCAGTCCACAGATGTGCGAGAGATTTTGCCGCTAATAAATCGCAGTTTTGCTGAGCCCGAAAACTTTCTTGGAGATGCACGCTTCGGATGAGTGTTCCTAGCGATGTTCCGAGGAGCTTTTGCACGCCTGCCACCAGCAGGAGGCTGAAACGGGAGTTTTGCACATTCCTGGCTGCCACGCCGTTCGAAGCGCAGCGATCGTCCGTCGGCAAGGCCAACTGCATCTCTCCCGCCAATCTGGCCAGGGCCCAGGACCCAGGTGAGGACCAAAGGGGCGTTGTCAGTGTGGCCTTGGAGGTTTGGTCTGTTAATTGCAACAAGTGGGGCACGATGAAAGACTTCATGGAGGATCCCGACTGTTCGGCGCGCATCATCCTTTGCCGAGAGCATCGTCTCAGGGGCCCTGAGTCGGTTGACCGTGCCTCCGCCTCTGCGATTCGTGCGGGCTGGAAATCCATCTGGCTGGCTGCAGTTCCAGGTCCGCGAGGTGGAGACAGTGCTGGTGTGGCCGTTTTTGCCAGGTCTTGGCTTGGGCTCCACTCTGCGCCTCCCCCAGCCATTGCTCGGGGCCGCTGCCTAGCCTGCAAGTGTCGCGCCCCCGACAGCCCAGCGTTACTGCTGGCCTCTCTTTATCTTCACCACTCCGCGGGGCTCGACGCCTCCAACGGGGGCGTCCTCAGCGACCTGGGGGAGTTCGTGGGCAGCCAGTCGGAAGAATACATCATAGGTGGGGACTTTAACTTCGGGCCAGACTTATTGGAAGGCATGGGATTTGCTAAAGCTGCGGGGGGTCTCCTCATCACCACCCCCGACAATGCCCATTATCCTTCCTTGGGTGACCCGTCCAAGTTTGACTACTTCGTGGTCTCGCCCCCCCTGGCCAAGGGCTTCAATGAGGCCAAAGTTCGACTCGGCACGACGCTCAACCCCCACCGCCCCGTGTCGCTTACTTTGCACCTTCGTTTGCTTCAATTGAAGGCTCTCGCCTTTCGCAAGCCGCCGCCCCTGCCTGTGGACCCCCCGTTCGGCCCCAGGCCGCAGGAGTGCAGCACTGATTGGGATCGGGTTTTTGATCTGGTCAATACTGCTGTGGACAGAGTGTCTCTTGGGGACGGTGACGGGGCCGCAGCCCTGCTCTCTGAAGGGTGCGGTCTCTGGGCGAATAGAGCCGAACTTGATCTTGCGAGGGTCCTGGGGGCCGATCTCCCTGTCGATGGGTCCCGCGGCAAAACTGTTGAGACTTTTTGGAAGCCCATCTGTCAGGCGTGTTCTCCTCCCAAGGACCCCGTTGCCCGCGGTCTGAAGTGGCTGGAGACCCAGCTCAAGGCCTTGAGATCTGAAGGTTTAGCACGCAACGTTCCACAGCGGTGCATCAAGGCCTTGTGCTCTACGCCGTCGTGCGCTGGCACGTCTCGCGCCTGTCATGCTGGACTATTTCAACGTGCCACCAGCTTAGCCGCCTCCTGTGCTGTCTGACTGGCTGGCCGCAAGTGCTCGTCTGTGTGCTCGGCTCCTCCTGGAGCTCCTCCTCCTCCCCCCGTTTTGCCCGTCGCGCTCGATAATCAGTGTCAGGACAAGGCGGATCTGGACGCTCGGTCCCCGCCCGCTATCTCGGATTTTGTGGCTGATGTTGGCCAGCTGCTCGCATCTCTCGCGCCATGCCTCGAGGAGGCCGCTAAGGACTTTGCTAAGGCTAACAAGCGCCGCTGGCGAGAATGGCCCCAAGAAGGTTTGGACAAAGGGGGCGGGCGGGCCCATCGCGTTCTTAGAGACCCCACCCCTTGGGTTCCCTCGGTCACCATTGCGGCGAACGGGCAAATTGTGGCGGACCCCAGAGCCCTTCTGCCTGACGAAGGGAAGCGCTTTCAGGCGTGGTGGGGGGAGGGGAGTGGGCCCCCTGTGGGCCCTGTTCGGTTGGTCACCCCCCTGCCCCGCCTTTCCCCAGATGAGATCCGCCAGGTCTGCAAGACCTACCGTAAACAGAGTGCGGTTTCGGTTGACGGTTTCCACCTTCGGCATTATTCGGTTTTGTGTGATGCCGCCCTCGTTGCCCTCTCTGGGCTCCTGTACGTCTTTGAAGCCACGGGGAGGCTTCCTAATCAGTTAATGGTTGTGCTTTTGGCCCTCTTGCCCAAACCTGTTGGGGGCTTCAGGCCCATCGGGGTTTTCGTTTCGTGGTATCGGCTATGGGGCCCTGCCAGGAGGCCTTTTGCTCTCGATTGGGAAAAGAAGTTCGCGAGGCCCTATTGGGCTGCTGGAGCCAACAGGGGTGCCACTGATGTTGTCTGGAGGCAGAGCTTCAAGGCCGAAGCGGGTGTCACCAAGGGCCTCACTTCAGGGTCAGTTTTCGAGGACCTTCAGAAGTACTACGAGAGCATCTCCCTCGATTTTCCCGAGGATCAGTGCCACTGCCTCGACTTTCCTGTTGTGAACACCAGAGTTGCCATGGCGGCCTATCGCTCGTGCAGGTTTCTCAGCCTTGGGGGCGTCATCGAGGGGCCGTGCTGGGTCAGCTCTGGGGTCGTAGCTGGGTGCTCGATGGCCACGTCGTTCATCCGTGGTTTCGCCCTTAAGGCCTTCGATGAGCTGTGCAATGTTCTGGCTAGTGGCACTGATTTCGACGCCTACATTGATGACGCGTGCCTCTCGCACACGAGCACGGTCCCCGAAGTCGTGGAGGCACTAGTTTCTTCCTCGGTCAGCTTACACAAGGCTGTCACCCAGGAGCTCGGTTGCAGGCTGGCGCTTGACAAAGTGGGCTGCGTGTGCAGCCACAAGTCAATAGCAATTCAGCTCGAGGAGCGACTGGGGGAGTTGTGCGGCAAGCCCTCGGCCTCGGTGGTTAACTTGGGTACTGACTACGCGGCAGGCCGCTCACTGCGCACCACTACCCCAGGCTCCAAAAAAGGTAAATCAGCCAAACTTAAGGCCCGTCAGGCCAAGTTTTTCCGTCAGTGCAGGCGCCTCGACAAACACAAAAGCAACATGGGCAGGTCCGCTGTCAGGATTTTTGCGTCGGGCCCGCTGGCGGGCGTCACCTCTGGGTCTAAAATCTGGGGCGTTTCGGACCGTGAGCTCCACTCGCTCAGGGGCAAGGGCATGGCCACTATCTCTCCCAAGTCTCAGCACCGTTCCCTCACCGCCCTCTCGCTCCTTGAAGGGGCCCCCCCTTGGAGGGCGAGTGTGGCCCCTATCATTCGCTGGTGCA